ATCACATATCGTTATTTTATTGTCCATTTTCTCTCTATTACAAAGTTTATAAACTATAGGAGATCATGCGAGTGATTTAACCTAAAACGTAACCGGCACGACCATTGTTGTGAACATTGGTGGAATGTACGAGGAAAAGCACGAATGAAGTACTATGATAAAAAAAGACAAGGTTAATGCACGTATTGCGCATAATTTTAGCAGCCATATTGCTTCTCCATATTTATGGACAATTTCTGATTGGCTGATGGATACTAGTTAAATTACTTTTCGATATTGTGGACAAATTTTAATTAACACAATATACACGTCCAAAAAATGTCCCTGTGTGTCACGTATGAAGCATTCATACATGAGGAATCCATATGAATGTTTGGTTAGGTTTACATGCATGTATATGTTCAACATACATATAGGGCGGTATTCATAGTCCGTTCTTATATTTAAAATCGTCTTAAGCACGGACTTATATTCGCTCTCTTCGTCACACATTAGATTGTGTCTGACGAAGAGAGCGAATATAAGTTCGTGCTTAAGACGATCTTGAATATAAGAACGGACTATGAATACCGGCCTATGAATACCGCCCTACATCATGGCAGTCATCTTGAGCGACCACTTTTTGAAAGTGAGAGGGAATGCTCGAGCATAGCGGCAAGCGGCATACCGTACGCCGTACGCATTAATATGCAGTGTATAGTCTTTTATGCAACAGTGTATGGAAATAAACGATCAAAATGGTATACTGTAGAGCTTGTGGCATAACAGCAGCAGCTCGAAATCATGGAATAACGTTTCATCGGTTAGTATTATCAACAATAATTAGATTTTTATTTTGGAGATTATAATCATATGTATAGTATTATGAAATTGTAGATTCACAATAATTACTAAATAATTTTCACTCGCAAACAGGTTTCTGAAAAATCCGGATCAAAGAAATGCATGGATAAATTTTTGTAAGGACGAAGGATTTAATATAAATTTAGATTTTAGATTTTAACATTGCTCTTATGGAAATACTGCACAAGTGCAATCCCAATGAAAAAT